TTAACAATTTGCTGCACAGCTTGCTTCAAAAGGATTTTTAAGTTTTTGGTGATTGTTTTGGCTATAAAAGTTTCATGATGAATGGAGCAGTGAGTAAATTTAGTTTCATCTGCGACTTTCTTTATTTAAGAAAGTATACCTGAATATTTTCCTGTTAAATCCCGAGCTCCGTCATTGCATATGGCAATGCACATATTCCAAGGAATATCATTCTCAGACATAAAATTAAACAACAAAAATCAGCGTTATATTTTCAAATTTTCACAGAACTAGTTTCAATCGTTTTACCGAACCATTATCCTCAGCTGCAAAAGCACAAATGAATGAGCCATCTGTTTATTCTGAAATTATGTTTTAACCAGAACTAAAACATAATTTCTTTAAAGGCAAAGATGGATTGGAATCAGGGTTGTTAACTCTAATAGAAAGATTTTTTTAATGTGAAATGCCTCTAGAAAATCCAGTTCACCAATGGAAGGTGTTTTTTGAATAATTTTTGCTACAGAAAAATTGAAAGTGTGATTTTTGGATAAACAGTGCTAGGCAACAGAAGACTTCCGTGTTTCCTTTTTTCCAACATATACCTCATGTTCCTTAATGCTAAATTTTAAGGATCTTTTAGTTTCACCAATGTAAATTAAACCACACTGGCAAGGAATCCTGTAAATACCCCAGGAATTCAAATCCGGATTGGGGTCCTTGAGTATGGAACTCTGAGTTTTATTGATGGGAGAATAAACGACGCGAAAGTTAAATATCTGTAAAATACGTAGAACTTTACTGCTAATTGATGGAAAGAAGAGAATGTAACAGAATTTTTATAATCTACTAAAACAAGAGTGTGCCTTTTGGTGTGTTGAGATGAGAATTTTTTAACTGCTTGATTAAATTATTATGAATCAAAATTGTTTGAAACTTTAAACTTCCCGGCATGGTTCCGCTACATAGACGATACTTTTACTCTGTTTGAAGGTAATAAAGATGATTTAAATAAAGTTCTTTCAACAATGAATTCTATTGACCCTGCTATTCAGTTCACCTTTGAACTTGTAAATTGCAATTCTCTTCAGTTTCTCGACATTTTGGTCACACGTAGCACATCCAACTTCAGTACTGCGGTTTACCACAAACCTTCATCAGTTTGCTTTCCGCCACACTTCAAATCATGTCACCTGCCTAAACAAAAGTTAGCTTCATTTTTATTCCTATGTTTTCCGTGCTCTTCAAGTTTGTTCCTCCAAACTGTCGCTTGATGAAGAACTAAATTATTTAAAAGCAGTAGCTATTGACAGGGGCTTTTCACCCAACCTTATTAATCAAGCAGTTAAAAAATTCTCATCTCAACACACCAAAAGGCACACTCTTGTTTTAGGAGATTATAAAAATTCTGTTGTTATTCCCTTCTTTCCATCAATTAGGTATAAAGTTGCACGTATTTTACAGAAATTTAACTTTTGCGTCGTTTATTCTCCCATCTATAAAATTCCGAGTTCCATACTCAAAACCCCATTCCAGATTTGAATTCCTGGGGTATTTACAGGATTCCTTGCCAGTGTGTTTTAATTTATATTGGTCAAACTAAGAGAGTCTTAAAATTTCGCGTTAAGGAACATGAGGCATATGTTAGAAAAAAGAAAACACAGAAGTCTTCTGTTGCCCAGCATTGTTGGTCCGAAAATCACACTTTCAATTTTTCTGCAGCCAAAATTATTAAAAAAACATCTTCCATTGGTGAACTGGATTTTCTAGAAGCATTTCACATTCAAAAAAATCTTTCTGTTATACTTTATGACCCTGATTCCAATCCATCGTTGCCTTCAGCCTTTAAAAATATTATGTTTTAATTCTGGCTTCATCAACAGATGGTGCCAGTAGCTTGCCACTTGTCCGTTCTTTCTTATCTTTTCTCATCTAATCACTATATCTTATCTCGTTCATTTGCGCTTTTGCAGCTGAAGATGATGGTTAGGTAAAACCATCGAAACTAGACCTGTGAAAATTTGAAAATATAATGCTGATTTTTCTTGTTTGGCTTCTAAATTAAATGATACCATAATTATAAAACTGTAAATTACTTTGAAAATTCCATTTGCACTTGCTGTATCATGAAGAGATTCACAAAATGAATACTCTTCTGCTATTCGTCTATCTTCACCGAAACATATGTAAACTAATAATTTAACAAAGTTTATTATATCAGTACTTTCTAAATGCAATGCGAAATACTCAATATTTTTTATTTCTTTTAAATAAGTGTCTCTTTTATGGAATTTGCCATTTCATGAATTCGGCGACTTACTGTGTCATTTGATAATGAAATATAATTATTAAGAAATATTATTAAGTTCATTAGCCACTTTTTTGTTGAATAATGCTAAAATTATATCTTTAGCTGCTGGTAATATATGGTTCTCTGCAATAGTGGGAGCCTGCCCAGTCTTTTCAATTCTCAATAACTAGTTTCCAAAGCCTTTTCACTTGAGTAACAAGAGTTTTCTTTACTTGTTTACTATTTTGGAACTAATAATTTCCACTTAAAATATTTTTCAGATTTATCCTTTAAATTTGCATGCTTAGGTTTAAGATGGCTTTTAAGAAACAATGGTTTACTTTGATTTGGATAATAGATAGTTTGAACAATTGAGGTTGAACAATGGACACAATGATGTTGATTGTCCACTTCATCTCCTTTACCCAAATGATAAATGACTTTCATTATGTATTTTTCTTCTTTTCCTTTCAATATTCTTAGTAGTAGATTGTCCTGGATCCATCATCTGTGAGTCATCACTTTTCCGCTTAGTCAGTCCTAGTCATTTTTCCGTTTTGAAAATCTATTTAGTTTTATTATTTTTTTCCAAATATTTAAATGCACAATGTATTACGAGTTCTTCAAAATCAAACAACGATACTCTCAAATCGCATAGAAAAGTAAAGAATACAAAGCAACAAGAAGACAAATTAACTGCTGTTAGAAATAGCAAATCGACGTAAAAAAAAAAAAAAAAAAAAATTATTCTAACTGAAAATAGAGCAATATGAGCCCAGAAATTACAAGGACATAAAGTGTAGACAAAGAATATTTGTAAAAAAAGCAGATTATTTTGCTAAAGTCTATGAGCAGCTACTGACCTTGAACAATGCTCAAATCGCATAAATGTGTACAGTGTTAGAGAAAAAAACTTGGAGAAATGCCCCCCAAAAATTAAATGTCCCAACATCCCGACATTTAATTTTTGAATTTACTCGTTAAAATACTTTGTTTCTTTTCGTACCACCAGTAGTACGTGTACCATCAGTTGAGAATCACTGGTATAAGATATTTTCATTCACTCTCTATTGGATGCTTTGATGCATTTGAAGTTTTGAGTGATTGTATATGCTACAGAAATATTCTCTTATCATTTGCACCCCTTCATAATTCTCATGAGATAGTATAGACTTGATTTATAACAATTAAGAAACTCTTTTGTAGAAATCTGCTATACTGTAATAAATCTGTAGGCCCAGAGTCATCTGAAAATGTGTTGGGATTCATTTAACTGTGCATTTAAACCCTGCAGTTGAAATAATTTCTTTGGTGAGCATAAATAATGTACTATTAGAGTTTCACACAGTTTTTAACATGGACAATTATCAAAGTGTGTCTTAATAAACTGCTTAGTCATACAGATCTTGAAGATTAATCTTTTAAAATATGAAATGTCTTCTAAAATACAAAACATGTTTTATAGCCAGAAAATGGTCATTGCTACACCTCATATTTCCAGAATTATGACAAACACAAAAATATCTGTTCATATAACATTTGTTACTCATATGATAGTGAATAAAGACCAGGTGCTTTTTTACTCAATTATCATATTTATATGATTTTATTACTGTAAGCTATATTTTACTCTTACAAGAGGAATTTATACTTTTTGGTAAAAATTCAAGTGTATCCTTAAAATGCAAATGTTTTCTTTACTTTGCAAATGCTAGAAGTCATCATTCATTCAAATGTTACATTTAATTAAAAAATTTGCAATAGCAGGTTTTTTTTTAATTAAACATCCCTGTGTAGGTATTCAAATGAAATGGGATTCTGTTTGAATATTTCAAGCATTTCTTTGCACCTTTGCACCTTTAGTTGTTTTTTTGCATGAATTTAGATATATCCTTATCCCTGCATTTGTATCTTAATTTCAGTTTTCAATTTTTCTATTGCACCAGTGCACCTCTTTTTGTTTTCTGAAGTTAAACTAAATCTAAATCTTAAATATATTAAATTTTTAATACTAATATGTTGGAGAATCAAATTATTTATACTGTTTACTTAAGAAATGTTTAAAAAAATAATTTTATGCTTGCAAGGCTTAGAATTTACTTACATAAGCAAAATTAGAAGTTTTAAAATTCAGTTTTTTTAATAATTAAAATAATTTATTTGTACTTAGAATTGCTATTTTAAGTAATAAATCTATATTTTCTAATAATAAAATATTATAATAACTTAAAAAACAAGGCATTAATATTTAAAAAAATTTTTTAATAATAATCTTTATTGCCACTATTTCCATTTCGAGCACTGAGCTTCCTGTCTTATTCTCTTGTGGCATTTTACTCTGCTATCACTTCCTAGAAATACTCTTTGCTTCTGTGTATTTTTGTGAGCCCTGCAGTTAGCAAGATTTGTGTGATGCAGTAAATAGTTGATGCATAATGATACTTTTTGCATTTTGTTAGTTTTGAGCTGTCATTTTTTTTCTTTGGTATTGAAAAGAAAAAGAAAAAAAAAATTCTTGCTATTTTTGAATTTTTGAAACTTAAATTTGATTAAATGAAAAATTTTTACTTTTTTATGAACCACATTACTTCTATTTTTGTGAAAAGAATTTATCATATTTTTTTACATTGTTCTTGACAAGGTAAAGTATGTCATTTTTTCCCTCTATTAAATATTTTCCACTCTTAATGTAGCTTTTTCTGTTGTGTATAATATATTTTTACCATTTTAGGGAAAGTTCTATCGGTGTAATGATGAATCTAAAATGACTGAAGATGAGTGCCAGTGAGTGGTCCTTTTATTCTCTCAAGCTGTTGTCATTGAGTTATTTTTCTCATTTGTATCACATGACAAGTAATAAATGTGTAACTAGTCATAAAACTGCTTAACAAACTTAAGTTTATGAATTTATATTTAAATTAAGAAGTAAGGCATCCCTTTTGTTTTTCATTGTAATATCCCTCTTCTATCTTATAATTTATCTTTGTGATAGATTATAAGATAGTGATTAAATATTTTGAATTTCTGGTTTTCTAATGTTTCACTAAAAAAGAGATAACCAAGAGTGGTATGTGTTCATCATGTATGTTTGGCTAATAAAACTGATAGCATGCAAAATATAATTAATTTTTAAAGTACTAATATTACATAAGAGCAGTAATTGATACATATTATTGACTGTAAGAATGGTTTAGTCTGTTGAATCCATCATTAGCATTAGAGAAATAATCCACTAATGTTTTGAATAATGTAGGATGTAATTTTAGGGTGTCAGAAGTGTTGCATTTTATTTATGTATTTGGAAAGGTATGATAATTTAACAGGGTTCATGCGATCCTTAAAAATAATTAAAGCCCTTAGATTTTTTATCCTTTTTGCAAATGATTTTTGGTCCTTAAAAGTCCTTAATTTCTGAAAAATTGGCAAAATGTCCTTAATTTTACTCATCTGACATTTCTCCCGTTTTTTTTTTTTTTTTTTTTTTTTTTTTTTTCCGGGGGGGGGCGACATTTTGAGTGTGAATTACCATTTTGGAGGAATATATTTTTGCAATGCATTGACAAATATGTATTTCATGGGTTAATGTTTTAATTCTTTCTTACTTCTTAATATAAAAGGTGGATACTCGAGATTTAGGTAAGAGGCCTGCCTCTATTGAAACCTGGACATTTGAAAATAATTTCTTTTTACAAATTAGGAGTTCATAAAATATTACATCAAATTTTTTTTTCACTTTTTAAGATGTGATGTCTTTTACTATGCAATGCTAAATTTAGCTACTTATCAACATTTTGGCGATTTCAAGAGCAGTTTATCAAAAATTTTTATTCAGAAATTTGAGGTTATATAACACGTAAGAGAATTTTTATTTAGAGATTTGATCTTTGATGAGCATAAATAATGCACTATTAGTGTTCTACATAGTTTTTAACATGGACAAGGGTTATCAAAGTTTATCTTATTTAATTGCTTAGTCATACATAATCTGAAAATTAATCTTTTAAAATATGGAATGTCTTCTGAAATACCAGACATCAGCTTTTTATTATATAAAGATTATGTAATAAAAATATATTAATCTTTTTATTATGTAATTATTTGACAATTTTTACATACATTATAGCATTAATAAAGATCATAAAAATAAGGATAATCTATTTAAACTATATTTAAGAAATAACATTAAAATCAACACTTTTATTTCCTGCTGCCACTTTTTAAGTAACAATCCTTTCTATTTGATGACTTCAAAAATATTTGATTTTAAAAAATAAGTAAGATCAAGGATGCTTAAAGCCTAGTCTGAAACACTTCTTAGAAAAACAAAAATGCTACTCTAATTATTAAAAAATTAATTTCATTCATCTTCTATATTTTTTCCCATGTAATTGTTTCAGAATATTTAAATGTGTATCAGTTTTCTCTTGAAAAATAACTTTACACTTTTCTTTTCTGATTTTTTTTTTTTTTTTTTTTTCCAAATGTCTACTGGCTTTTAATTCTTACAGAGTTGGGTGGGATAATTTTTCTTTCAAAATTTAAATCTTACACCTCAGAAGATTTAGAAGAATTTGAAGGCAAATTTATAGACTTAACAAATTCCACAAACATTACAAAATGTCTTCATGGTATTAATGCATAATGGATCATGTTTTATAGGAAACTTGTGATGAATTTCTTATCTTTTAAGCAATTTTTGGAAGAACAGTGAAAACAAAATTACTTGAATTTTTCCTATTGATCCCACAAGTCTTTCTCTTGTTTATCTTCCCTTTATTTTTTTTCTTTCCATTAGACACAAACGTTGAAACAATTAAAAAAAGCAAGGAAATTGAAAGCCAACAATTCATTAAAAGATTCATCATATGTGTCTCAGTATACGATATACACCACAGTGCCTGGCCAAAATTCTAAAAATTTGCCCTAAATTGTGTTTCTTGGTGAACTAAATTCTAAAATTTTGCCACCCTGATTTTGGCATCAGTCTTGATATTATATTATTTCATATTGTTATGGATTTTGTATTTAATTTGCTATTTTTAGTAGAATTGTTATTAATTTGTTTCATTTCCTTGTGCAATGCTGTGCCAAAATATTAAAAATACAGGAGCATGAACATTTAACATTTAATATAGATATCTCGTATTGTACTCTTTTGCTATCTAGAAAAATCAAGGAGGTACTAGAATGTTCTTGTGCATGATTAAAAAGCTTATAAAAGCTGGATCAAAACAATTCTCATTTCAGTTGTTTACTTAGTGCTGTTATTGATTGTAACGAATTCGCGGTGAGATCAGATTAGCTTTCTCTGTGTTTTTGAATTGAGTTCTATTTATAATTAAGTAGTTCAAAATATAACTACTGTGAGATACTGCGATATTGTACAAATATCTCTGAGGAAATTTCAGCATTTTGTTTTATTTCTTGGAATAAGAATAAATTGTATTAACTTTTTATCAACTTGGACATTCATTGCGTTACAAGCTGGTACGCACACAACACTTTTTGGTGTCAGAAGTGGGATTTGAATGCCTGTAACAAGAGTGACAGAAGAAAAATTAAGGCTTCCTTCTGTGCGCACAGCAAAATTGAATGAAAAAGGATTTATAAGTTACTATAGGTTACTCTGAACCTTCTTTATTTATAGTAGATGGGAGCTCAACACAAACCATTCCATATATTTTAGCCATGTTTAGTTTTTTAAGACCTCATTTTCCAAAGAAATCTTCCAGATTTTTTTTTTAAGGTATAAAAGGAATTGTTTGAAAAGAAATTTCTATGTTATTTTTTGGCTGTATGCTAATCTCCTTATTCTATATTAGTTTTAAATTTTTACCTTGAAATCTTGCCTAAAATCAAACAGCGAACCCTAGGTGTGCCTAGGTTAAAAGATCACAAAATTTTACTTTTGTACTCCTCTAGTCCTAATTAGACTGCCTACCTTTTTTTTAAAATCAAAACTCCAACTTTAAAAGGTAGCGTGCCGGAAAGGGTTAAAAAAAAGATGAAGGCTGTCCAAGTTTCTGTTAAAGGATAAATGAAAGCCATTCAAGAAAAGATGGAAGCTGTTAAAGATGAAATGAAAGTGGGCCAAGACGAAATGAAAAGAGAAATCATCTGTATAATAGAAAACAAATTTGAGGCTATGGAAGGTAGAATAGACTCAGTCGAAAGTAAGGTTGTAGAAACTGAAGAAAGAGTTTCTTGCATCAAAGAACAAATAGAAGTAAGAGTTTCTGCTGTGAAGGAACTAATTGAAAGAAGAGTTTCTGCCATCCAACACCAATTGATACAGGGTTCTTGCGGTTGCCAAAGAAGTTGATAATTTAAAGAAATCCGTAGCGATGGCAAGGAGCAATTCGGATGGTTTCAAATTTTTACCCATGCATGTTCATCCCTCCCTGCTATCACACAGCATATGTGGAAGATATTACAGACCCTTGCATGCTCGGATTGGACTTTTTAAGGAAATACAATTTTTCCTTGGACTTCAAAAGCAACAAACTGCTTTCAGTATTTGAGGACATGACTATCCATCATCAGAAGGGGCCTCACCTAGAAACGCTCTCTTTGAAATACCCTACTCAGAGAGCAACTGAAATAAAGTATACGAAATAGGGAATACTAGGGTCAAAGTGAAATGGGAGACTACCTACTATTCTCCATCCCAGATGCTCTGTATGTACTATATGCCACTTGACATAAAGTTGCATAAACATGTGAGCTGAATGAGTATGTGAGGAAATGAGGCATAAAAGAAAGAATTGATATAAAGCTAATTGTGAGTAAAATTTCAATAAAAAGACACTGATCTTCTTTAAAATATGTTATTATGTAAAACTTAAAAGTTTCCAGAAATTTTATAATTTAATGCTAATTACTTAAAAAGCTTATGAATTTAATTTTATTCTTGAATTTATTTTATAATTAAAATTAATATTAGGTTGTGTTTAGTATTAATGATGCATCTTATAGATTTATTTTATTCTTACATATTACAAAAGTGAAGTTTGGATGTAAATAATTCCTTTAGTTTATTCAGTTCCTATTCGCTTGATAGGTCCTTAATTTTTTTCATTGACGGTCCTTAAAATTCCTGAAAAGCATTTAATTTCCACATGAAAAAATATGTATGAACCCAATCTAAAAAATTACTTTTTTTCTTATTAGTAATGATAATCTTTCCCACTAATGGTCATTATCATTCATATTTTAGTTTTTATTTTTCTGTCTTGCATTTCTAATTTTGCATATTTATGCCAAGTTTCTAAGTTTGTAACTAAGAATACCTAAAAGACTTGAATTATGTAGAATAAAAATTATTGTTATGCTTTGACTTATTTTATAATGTGATCATCCGATCTAAATACAGTGAACCATGTATTGACATGCTTTACTATCACACTGCATGTCACTAACCCTCATCTGATGAGTTAAATTTTGTGAATTCTTGTAACTCTTATAAGCACGTTTATTACAATCATGGATTATTGATAAGCTTATTTAATTGTTAGAAGAAATTGTAAGTCATTGATATATTATGCCCTATATTGTTGATTAGTTCAGTGTATAATATTTATTACTTTTATGTAACACCAGTGAAAAATCTGTGGTCAGTGTGGTATATGAATAGGCCTTTTTTGTCAACTCCTTACTTTCTATATTTACATAGTTTTGGTAAAACGAAATACTTTTATTGGAGGTGCTAAAGCAACAACAATCGGTATAATATTCAAAAATTTGTGAGACTAGTTTCGAAAGTTTAACTATAAGGCCTTTAAAACTAGTCCTGCAAATTTATGAACTTTATGCTGATTCCTTTCACCTTTGTAATTTATGTCAAATATTATCTGCATGAGTATTTTGGGAAAGTCTAGGATTTATATATGTAAGGAAAAAATTTCTGGTTAGTCGGTTTGTTCAGTAGTTGTTAATAAGATCATTTACACTGTGCATTTTTAATCTCAACAAAACTGTCTACTCAGATTTTTTTTATTTATGACTATGGAAAAATTTAAATATTAAGTGTCCAAATTTTCTTTTTATAATAAATGTAAACATTTTCAATGTAAAGCGTTACTAGGTCCGCATTCATTGGTACTGATATCCCCTTCAGAAAATTTAAGCAATATTGTATTATATTTGGCATTTATATAGATAATTTTTATCTTTTATCATAGGGGCCAATATGTTGTATATCATGGTGGTGATACTATAAAAATAACTATAGAAGATAGAGTTTGGGACAATAATGAATTTAATTTTGATGATGTTGCCAAAGCAATGCTCAGTCTTTGCACAGTTTCAACTTTTGAAGGGTGGCCTCGGTATGTATATATTTAAATTTAAGTGTATTATTTTAATGTGTGATATTTTATTTATGTTTTAAATGCCTTAAAGTAACATCTTGTAGTCTTCCAGTATGCAAGGAAATATATCGTCAAAGTCAAGGCTTATGTATTTATTTCATCAACAACCTAAATATCTTGAAATATATAGTTATCTGATCTAAAATAGATTAAATTTCAACCCAAATGATTTTATGGTTATGTTATGAAAAGACAGATGAAAGTTGGATGAGTTAATGGGATTTTGTCAGAAAGTCTTGCATTTGAGTGAAAAATAACTTAACAGGCATTTGACCCACTGGACAATAAGCTCGTTGATTCCATTCTTGTAAGACCATACTGTTGGTTGAGCAGTCAAGACCACTAAATACTGGGAGTTTGGCCCAGGTTTGTTTCCATGTGAATATCTGGCTGCATGATTAGCTTTTGTGGTTCCCCCTTTGTAATGTGAATATGAACCAGTTACTATTACTTGTCCTCCATGAAGGCATTTCTCCTGTGTGTTTTCCTTGTGTGCTTTGCCATATTCCGATAGTCTGGTCCAACCATGCTTGTAGGAATGCCTTCTGCTTCAGAATTAGTGTAACCACTCTTTGCATATATAGCAAAAGGTTTGCTGAAGGAAAAAAATGTAGAAATCCCCCCCCCAATGGTTCTGTGTGTGTTTTTTTTTTGTGGTGCTGAATCTGAATTTTAGTTTTCCCATGTCACTGGAGACCAACTTCACAACAAAAATCGAAAAAAAACCTCAAAATCCTGGCACATTTTTCAGTTTTTCTCTTCTAACTTTAAAACTAAGCATTTTGCAAAAGTGACTGCTTTGTGCAAAATTACAGTAGATGAAATTTCTCACAAAATGCATATATTAATATTCGGACAATCTGTGATGTCCCTAGAGCGTGCTGAAAAAAAGGCCCCTTTATGGCTCTCCATAAAAAATGCCCTTCTAACTGTGCTGCGGTGCCCTAATATCAAAGTCATATGCCTGAAACTAATTACTTTATGAATGCCTGGTATGCCTAGGTCACATTAATGGAATTAATGAATGTTAATGAGGTACATGGTTGGCGGACCCACTAATTTATGGAAAACCATGTTACTACTGTTCTTGCTACATACAGAAGATACAAATGCAGGGAAATAAGTGAAACCTGAATTTTTTGAGTCAAATAATGTTATAGTGATCTAAATTTGCATGCTATGTTTTGTTCTAAACTGGCAGACCTAGAGACGATGGGGGAAAAACAGTGCAATCAGTTTTCATGTTTCTTGAAAACAGTGTAGCAAGAAACAGTAGTAAATGTAAAAATGACAATTTAGCACTTGAAACAGTAGTAAATGTAAAAATGACAATTTAGCACTGAATAACTAATGAATGAGATTATGTGACAATAGCCAACTGCATTCTCACCCAAAAGCAGTAAAAGCACACCTCCTTGAGAAACATCTGGACATCATCAAACTTTTCATGGAGACGTGCTTTTACTATTTTTGAATGAGGATAAAAGTCACCTTCAATCTCATTCATTAGTTCATTAATTATAAATTGACATTCCTCTACAATGTTTTTAAGAAATGTGAAAATTGATTGCATTGCTGCTTCCCATTCTCTCCAGTTTAATACAAAATGTAGCATACAAGGAATTCATAAAGTAATTAGTTTTGGAGATACGACATGATACTAAGGCACTACTGCACAGTTAGAAGAGCATTTTTCATGGAGAGTCATAAAGTGGCCTTTTTTTCAGGATGCTATAGGGATGTCGCAGATTGTCCAAACGTAAAACTTAATAAATGCATTTAAGAAATTTCATCTACTGTAATTTTGCATAGAGTGGCCGCCTTCGAAAAATGCTTAGTTTTCAAGTTAGAAGTGAAAAACTGAAAATTGTGCCAAGATTTTGAGCATTTTTTTTTTTCAATTTTTGTAGTGAAGTTGACCTTTGGTGATGTGGCAAACCTAAAATTTGGATTCAGCACCAGAAAAAACATGTAGAACCACTGCGGGGGAAAAACTTTTTTTTTTCCCTTCAGAAAACCTTTCGTTGACTAGACAGCAGACCTTGTATTGATTGGTTACAGCTAATATTCCATATATTGTGTGTTTGAGGCTACAGGTAACAAGGTTATTACTGATTCATGGTATCAGGAAAGATTACCAAAAGATGAGAAATTGTTAAAATAGCAGCTATTATCATTGATGATTTACAATCTCAAGTGTACGACATTATACACAAATACACTATAGCAAATAGATTTTCGGAAGACCTGAAGGATCTCATTCCACAATTTTTTCAAGGTTTTACAAACTTTGTATTGATAAGCAAGAAGGAAGAATATATTGGCAAATGGATAAAGAAATCCTTTTCAATAGCCAACTGCTTACTTACAGCTGCGAGGCCATAAGTATCTCCTCTGCAACTGGGAGTTGCAGTATTTTTGTGTAGAATGTACCGATCACACTGGTTACTTAATGTGCTGAGTTCATTAGGATTTTGCTCATCATAAATGGAAGCCACACTTTTTAAAATGTCCTCCATTATCCAACCACCTCTGATCTTTTATCAACAAGCACTTCCTCAAATGGTGTATGATAACACAGACTTCAGTGTTCAAACTATTGATGGGTACAACACATTCCATTTGATGTGTGGCATACTTTGTGTGACTTCAAAATCTGCTGTTGTCCATCAGGAAGTATTTGATACGTCGAAACTGTTTTATTAAAGCTCATGCCCAGTGAGAAAACTGCCAGATCCATTAACAAGACTCATAAGGCCCATATCACACATGCGTTTGTTTCATACGAACAACTGTTTCAGACAATTTTTCTACCTGGTTTACTACTGAAAGAAAGAGGTGTGATTTTCTTCCTTCCTTTTGAAAAAATTGCAAGTTGCTGGTTTTCAACCAATCAGCTATTAGATTGTTCGTAATGGAGGATCAGTTTTCCCTTTATATGTTAATCCCAAAGTGATATGTGGTGATTGGCTTGTTCTTCTGAAACAAATGGGTGTATGAAAGCAGCCTAAGACAAGGCAAAAAATGATATACCAACCTTTAGGATGGCCAGGCTGGTTCATCCAGAGGAAAAATGAGGAAACAGTTCTGAGCCTTATGCAGGTGTAAACTTCATACAGTAATTCATTCGAGCACATTTAAAATTTACTTTTTTTGCAAGTAATAGTCATCTGAAACTCTCTCTTTTTACTTCCTTGTACGAAGTAAAAAGGAAGTATTGTAATCGCGAAAAGTTTCAGGCAGCATATTTCAACGAAAATATCCATTTTGACTGCCATCGAATGTAATTTAACGATGTTTTTGAGTGATATCTGTATGTAAGGACAGAATAAAATACTCTTTTCCTTTAAAAAAAATTATAAAACTGCTTTAAAATTAATTCTGAAGAGAATTTTTCATGGCGTCTGTACAAACATATGTACGTACGTGCGTACGTACGTATCTCGCATAACTCAAAAACGAGTAGCCTCAGAACATTGAAATTTTGTATATAGGACTGCTATAACATGTAGATGTGCACCTCGTATTTTGGTTGCAATCGGCCACACCAAACATGTATAAATATATTTATATATATATCCACTCTGTTACCCGGCTCAGTGATCTCACTTTCTTTACTCTTATATGTTTGTAAATTGTAAAATGTTTTCTTTAAAAATGATTGAATTAAGTTGTTTTTATCTTCCGGTTAAGGATTTTATGCCTTTAGTAAATCTGTATGCAATATTTTTAGAATTATCAACAATTTAAAAGTTGTTTAAGTGCCGCTAAGCCTATTTTAATGGCGCCATTGATGTTTACATTTGAAACAGGAGACTAGTGGATTTGTTGCCAAGCTAGAGAAACTTAGCTTCACAACAACAAAGATAACACATTCATTTATTATTGCCAATTAAATCATGCTTAATTCTTTCTGGAATTTTTTCGAGAAAATAAGTGTTTGAAATTTACTTCGTAATTTTTAATATAGATATTTTGAGTTTTTATGTATTTTTGCCTTCTCGCAAAGTGAGAACTGAATTAATTAAATGAGAAATGCTCAATTCGTCTGTGAAAAACTGTTTCTTTCTTTCTTTCTTTTCTTTTCTTTTCTTTTTTTTCTTTTTTTTTTTTTTTTTTTTTTTTTTTTTTTTGCTTAATTTCTTTTATACATCATTCTAGCTTTATTATAGTATTTGAATAGAACATGTGGCAACGATTGAAATAATTCTGTTCTTTAAATGATATAAATTTTGTGCATTATGAGTTATAATGTGAACCACGTACCTCATTGATGTTCATTAATTCCATTAATGTGACCTAGGTATACCAGGCATTCATAAAATACGAGTAATTAGTTTCAGGCATATAATATTGATATTAGGGCACCACCAAAGAAAGGTGTGGGTTTTTTTTTTTTTTTTTTTTTTTTTTTGGAAAGCCATAAAATGGTCTTTTATGATGTGCTGTAGTGGCTTCACAGGTTGTTCAAACATTTAACATTAACATTTTTATATATGCCTTTTATAGAAAACATTCTCTATTATAATTTTGCATAGAGTGGTCATCTTTGAAAAATGCTTAGTTTTTGAATTATAAATAAAAAAATTAACAAATGCCAAAATTTTGAGGGTATTTTTATTCTGATTTTAATCATGAAGCCAGCCTCTGGCAAGGTAGCAGACCTAAAATTCAGATTCATCACCCTGAAAACATATAGAGCCAGTTTGGGGGGGGAAGGAAGTACTAAGTTGTAAAGAAAATATTTAAAAATTTCCCATCTGTACTTTTGCAGTATTCCCACATTTACAATTTGTTGTAGGGAATTTAACATTATAGTGAAACAAATTGGTATACATACTATGTAATTTTGTGTATAAATTGAATGCAGACTTGTGAAAAAATATATGAATTAAATAATACGAATTAAAGGTACTTTCATTTTTTCTGCTTCTCCACCCCCCATTGCAAAGTCATAAACTCATTCCTGACTAATTTTTTTCCAAGCTAGTTTTACCAAAGGCAAGAAATATTTTCAAAATGTTGGCACACTAAAGCTGCCATAAAATAGCAATCAATCAATAAAATTTAAAAAGTAAGAATCATCAATAATAAATTGAATCTTTTTTTTTTTTCCCCCCTCCCAAAGAAATCTTTCTGCAATTTTTGTTGTTGTTCTCTCCAGATGCACAGCAATCTGTTTTTGCTATAAAAAAAATTGCGCTAATTTAGCATCACATACAATTTTAGCATTCCACACCAGTGAGCAATAAATGAAGTGAATGGCTGTTGTAAATGAGACATGGCTGTCTTCAAACCTATTGCCAATGTGCATTTTAGTGCTTTGTTTGCAATTTTTCATATAGAATATCCATAAAATTCAATTGTTTCAGATGCATAACTTCAAAGAATGTGAATTTTTGCATTCTACATTGTTAGACAAAAGGGCATGTTTCTGTCGAAAAGCGTTGCTTTCTTTTCCATCAGCTGGCAAATTCCACAATCATTGTGGAAAAAACAAAGCAAATGAAAAAAAAAAAAAAAAAAAAGGCAGTTGAATTTCAAAAATGCAAATTCTCATATATTTAAACAGATGTGTGCTATATGCATACTATGGCTGCTACATAACTATTTTAGTGACTTAACTGTGTTGCTTTATCCTTTTTTGCTTTTTGTGACTTTATTGGTGGAGGTACAGATAATTAGAAACTTCATTAAACTTTGTAGATATAAAGAAACCTTGTTAAACATACATAGAAAGTATGTTGCTATTTGCATGTAATTATTTTCATTATAATTATAATTTATGAATTAATGAAATTTTGAAAAAAATTAAATGTCATTAATTGTTACATTGCTAAGTAATCATTATTTGGTATTTTGTAGTTTACTGTATGTGGCAATAGACTCTCATGCAGAGAATGTCGGCCCTATTTATAACTACAATCCACTGGTAGCTGTCTACTTTATTGTTTATATCATAATCATAGCATTTTTCATGGTGAACATTTTTGTTGGTTTTGTCATTGTCACTTTCCAGAATGAGGGGGAACAAGAGTTTAAAAATTGTGAACTAGACAAAAACCAGGTAAATAATTAAGATATTTTTAAGTTATTTTTGTAGTTAAATCAATTTTACATTTATGAAAGATAATTGATTTTTATTGCACCTAAAATAATTGTTTTGTAGCAAAATTTCTGAATTAATATTTTATCTACATATTTGAAAATTTACCCTTCAAATGATATTTGAAATTGACTGAGGATTTCAATTATCATAATATGTATATGCCAATCAAATCTACTATGGACTAAGAAATTCAGTTCTTTTGAAAAGAGTCTTGCATTACTTCTGAAGCACAACTTAAAGATATTAATATAAATATCAAGTAAATAAATATTCTTTCAACTGTAAATTATTTGAAATCTCTAACTCTGTTTTCTAAGGTGCAGTTTATTTAAGATTGTATTAAATGAGATATGTAATATGTGAGATTTAAGAAGTTAATTGCTAAGTAATGAATTTTATACTCATTATTTTACTTTACTGTAACAAGTCTAAATAATGTCTTGTGTTTATCTGCATCTAGAATGTAAATGATTATTATATAATGCATAGAAAATGGTAACATGAGATGTCTAACCAATATTTCTATGTATATTTTTATATAAAAGCCACAAGCAGTTTTGCAGCTTGTAATATAGAATAAATTTTAAATAGTCTATCAGATCTTGATCTGTAAAATGTTTGATACTGTAATTATGAAATAGTGACAATAAAATTGTGTTGCCCCATCGATTTTGTATTCTCATTAAATTCTCATTAAAGCTTTTTATAAATAAATGTGTCAAGACCTTGCTTAAGTTCAGAAAAAGTTTAATGATTTAATTTTTTAAGATGTAAAGTAGCATGAGGCATAAAGAGTACAGACTTTAAAAAGTCTATCTATTTTGTACTCCCAGTCAGAAACTTTGGTCATTTTAAAATTCTGTATCCAGATTCAGTCATTTTAAAATTCTGTATCCAGATTCAGTCATTTTAAAATTCTGTATCCAGATTAGCCACAAATCTAAAATCACCATATTTTATGTACATGATTTTTTAAACATTTCTTTCATCATTACATTTCAGTTTCTGTATTGCTTGTATGATAAAACATGCTTCAAATTTCTGCCGTGGTCTCCTTATTATTATCAGATTTATATATGGTTTCAAAATGATCACAATTATTTATTGTGTTAAATGAGAGCGTAAAAGAATGATAGTGCACATTGATATGAAGATAAACATGTTTCCTTGCGTATTCCCCTCCTTTTCTCGCTAAAAAGGGAGTTATCTAAAAATTGAGAGGAAGAAAATTGTGCTAGTAATTTCATTCTCATAGGATGTGACAGTAAGAGCATGACAAACTAAAAGTAGTAATGAATAAACTGTTGCAATATTACTTCTTTAAAAGAAGCAAATATTCCACTTAAGAATACATAGTAATATTAGTATTAGAACATCTAATAAGATACTTGATCTAATATCTAATAAGATCTAATAAGATAACTAATAAGATATATCTAATAAAATAATATCTAATAAGATATATCTAATAAGATCATTGTGACTTGAATCCTGTCCATTCCTGTTGTTGTTCAGCAACTCCAGCAGCACTGAAGGATTTGAGGGCTACTCCCTAGGCCTCAAATATTCAATGCAGCTGGAACTACTGTCTGTGTCATCTACTAGAGCTTAAAAATTGTCACCCTCATCATCTGTATTACCATCCTGTTTTCCACGTGTAATGGTCTTCGGAATGATAGGAGCATTAGATATCGCTATTTCCTTGAAGCTCTTCACTATTATTGCTTTATCTGTCAAAGTCCACAAGCAAATCAATTCTCAATGGATGGTTTGGGATTTATCCGGTTCTAGTAAAATTATGCAAACCTGCTGTTATCCATTCATTATAACATTTTCAGAGAGGGTCTTTGAATGATTTGTTCACTGATGTGTCCACTGGTTGCAGAAGTAATGTTAGTTTTTCTTGTAAAATAATGAGAGGAACAGTGTTTGTTCAGCTCTTTATATATATATATATATATATATATATATAAAGCTCTTTATATTATATATATATATATATATATATATATCTTCCATAAGATGCCACTGAAACTCTGCAAGACTATTAGTAACTTCTTATGTAGAAGAGCACTTGGCCTATGGTAAAACTTTAAGCCACTTTTTCATTTAGTCAGACAACATCCTTTTTTTTCATATGCCTTAATTATGATACCAGGAGGGAGTTTTCTTCTAGCATCATCTTCTGTTTAAAAATTGTGAAAAGCAGTAATTTTTTTACTCTCAGCATTCTCTTCTAACATTACTTTGCAACATACCTTTTCAGCTCCTTTAGTCTTTATTACTAACACAGAAATTGATCAACTGCAGTATTTTTAGGTATGTAAAAAAATACATGAGTTTGATCTGTATTTCCTGTAAGTCGAAGACTGCAATTGTAGTTCTTTTCTTTGCTGGAATATGAACTGTGAAATTCTCTTACCTTTCCTTTATAATTCTCTGGTAGCCACTTTTCAAGTATTATTCTTCTCATTTTACCAAGTTCCATTTTTTTCCTCATGAAATGAACCATCAATCTTTTGCTTGCTTCGAATTTTTGGGCTGTAATATCATGTTTCTTTGCTTCATTCCTCACTTTCATTTGTATCATTTCATGTGGCACAGCTATGCCATTGTTTCTTTGCTGCATCAGCTAATTCAGCACTTCACTATCAACTTCTGGAAATGTTTTGGTTTTAGGTTCCCCAAATACTTTTTGCTATGAATTAATCTTCCTGAATGCATCTTTTTGTTTTTTCTAGTATTGAATCAAAGTAGAATGAATACCAAATTTTCTACTGGCAAGTTTGGCACCATTAAAAACCTCAACAAATTTTAAAACTTTTTAAATTTAAATTTTGCTATGTAGCTGCGATTATTTTCTTTCCCTGTTGTTTTAAAAATTTGTGGTATGCTGAGCTCATAGCACATAAACATCAAAAGGAAATTCTTCTAACTGCAAATTCTCGATTGTAAGTAAAGGATCAAATCAATAATATTAAAACCACAAATACAGTGTAGAATGTGACACGTCTGGTTGAGTTACCATGTAAAGCCCCAATGACACCTCACATAAACTGCAGTCTAGCCTGCAGTTCTCAAGAGGGACATCGGAGGGAGGAAGGAGAAGAGGGGAAAATAAAAGACATGGATTTTGAAAGATTGAACACATCAGCAGTAGATAAAGTTACACTGAATTTGAACTCAACTAATAGAAGTAAGGTGAAATCACATATTTGAGAAGTATATTAAGTATGAGAACATGTGTCATATCGTAAAGAAGATTATTGAAAAACACACACGAATTTGTGGCAGATAGAAAATTCAAGGGAAAATAAAATGGATGAAATGCAAATGCAAAAATGTAAATACAAACTGAATGCACTGAATAAAAATAAAAATAATCAAGGATATACAATTTACTAATAAAGAAGTTCTCAGGTGAAAAAACTATGTGCAACAGAAGAAATGGAAAATTCTGCAAATATTTAAAAAAAATTTCAGAACCTAATGCTAAGCTAGGGCAATAATACATGAGGAAATATGATAATTTTTATTTATCTATAATCATATTTGCAATCAGATGCTAGTTTAGGGAGAAAATAATGCAGTTTAAGTATAAATGTGACGCAATTAATAATAGTAAATAAAATTTTATGATAATAGAAGAAGGAGTCTCAATAAACACATTATAGTTTTCATGTGGAGTAGCACAGGCAGATAAATATACATTTTTTAGAAAATTAGCAAATTTAATAAAACTCCAAATTAGAGTAAATAAAAATGAGAATTTGTGTCTTGGTTTTCACATCTAAGTTCAAAACATATAGAATTTTCTTTTATATTCTGGACTGAAAGGATTTTTTATAGATTTCTGTTAAGAATTCATTTCAAAATAAAAAATTACAGGTGTACTCAGGAATATTGGGTTATGTGTTTCTAAATGTGATATTTTTATCAACATGAAGTGTTTATTTGTTTTATGTTTTCTTAGAAATATTTAGTTAAAAAAATTCTTTTTTTATATATAGAGAAATTGTATAGAATTTGCACTTAAAGCTAAGCCTGTTCGACGTTATATTCCCAAACATCGAATACAGTACAAAGTATGGTGGTTTGTGACTTCACAGTACTTTGAATATGCTATTTTTATCCTTATAATGATCAACACTTTAGTATTAGCTATGAAGGTATGATTGACTTCTTGACTTTCTTGCTTCTTTTTGTCATTTAGTTATATTTATTTATGTAATATATTTTGTTAATTATTAAAAATGCTATAAAAATAGGTAATTTAAGAACTATTACAGGTATATCATTCTATTTTTGAAAATATTGCATAAACTTGTTTCTTAGAAGTGCAAGTTTTAATCAAAATATGTAATTGAAATAATTTAGGTTATAAGAGAATTTTTTATCTATTTTTAATTAATATAAGAATTGATTGTTTTTTTATCAATTTTAAAAAAATTGTGTTTGATTAAAATTTTTTAATAGTTGATCATTTTAGTTTTTACTTAATTTGTGTAATAAAATTGAAATATTCTTACATGTTCATAATTTCTTTTATATAATCATGATATATGGGATACAGTTTGGCTGTAGCTCCTGTTTACTAAACTTATCTTACAGTTAAGGAATTCTTTCTCAAAAGCTTTTTCATTTTATATTAATAAAAAATTCTGTTTGGTATGAAAATCAGATTTTATAGATAAAGTAAATTGTACTTTATGTTAAAAATTTAAAGGTATATATTTTCTTAAATTATTTATATTAAAATTCTCTAAAATGATATATTCCAAAAGTGCATTGCTATGCTCAATTAGTTCTTATGCCATCTTGGCATAAAGTTGGAAAGTTTAGGCCAAACTCTTATACCATTTTCCATAATACAGCAAAGTCTGTTGCCTAGCAATAAATAATAAAGTCTAGTTACCTAGCAATAAAGTTCTGCTCATTGCAGTTTCGACCATTAACCCTTTAACTGTCAAGTTATTTTGATGATTTGGGTACACAAATTGTCAAATTTTTTATTGCAAAAATCAAATGTTTAGTACAAAATAAAATATACTTAAGTAGTTAAAAATTGATATTTTGAAGTACATGGGTAAAATTTTTAAAGTTTTGTAGCCACTGCATATTTGCTTGAGGCGGCTGCCACTCAACATGGCAGTTGTAAAATTCACTTCTAGTAGAGCATTATTTTCTAAAAATGAAAAAAATTTATTATTTTCTAAAAAATAAATAAATATAAGTGAATACCTATTAGTAGTTCAGTAATTCAGTCTTGTGTAGTACAACTGGAAACACTTTTCCAAGCACAAACCAACTCCACAATCACAACACCAGAATCGTGATTCCTTCCTTATTTTTTCCCCATTTTTATCCTTTTTCAAACAGCACACTTTGCACTGTCTTGTAGGCTCACGTTTCGCAGGAGTAGTAGGAATATGGGATATAAAATGTCGTTCAGTAAGACGGGCAGGGTTATCTATTGTAGGTGGTCTGCCAACATTCTTTTGTCCAGAAGCTGCATCATCATATTTATGTAAAAGCTCTTCTACAACTGGGATTTGAAATTCTAAAAATGTAATACGTTTCCCAACTACATTTTTATAGAGCAAATATGAGTTCCAGAGTACCTTGTCTAGTAAATGTAAAAATATCTTTTTATAATATTTTTTATGATGGATTGTTGGATGAAAGGATATTTCCTGTTCACAGCGATCTACACCACCCATAGTTAGATTGTAGTCAGAAACAATCTTCGGCTTGAGTATATCTCCATTTTTAAAAAAAAATTTTTTTTTTATTTTGAGGCTGACCATGGAAGTATCATGAATACTTCTCATCAAACACACATCCTTCATCTTCGGTTGAAGAATCCCATGCACTTTGAACCAAAGAACTTATAACCTCTAACCTTTGAAATCTTCAGTATAGGGTCAGCTATTCTTCAGTCATCTATTGAACTGAGCGCACATTAACTTTTCCTGAGATACAGTCGGGTGTGACAAAGTGATGAAGCCGAAATAAACGTCTCCCGATATATATTCAGGTATAACAATACGATGCACTCCAAAAAAAATTACCCCGAGTAATACTCGGGCATGACACTTACGAACACTGGTGCTATCTCGGGCATGACAGTTAAAAGGTTAAGCAGTGTTTTCTAATAGACTGTTATGAGTGAATATATGGGATGATGAATAGGCAAGAGAACTAACTACCTCTTTACTCCTGCTAGAATTTACTAACTTTGTGGTACAGATTCAAACAATATTTGGATAGTATTTTAAGGTATGAATTATTATATTATTTCCATCATTGTCCTCAGTTCATTCTTTGTTTGAGCCTGTGACTAAGCAATCATATGATGACCCATTTTCATCCCAGAGATGCCCAAATGGAAGGCGATGTGGAGAACTCGATGGTTAAGGAAGCATCTTTATACCCAGCAAAGTATGCATGCTGATGTTTGCTATGCATTTATCATACCTTTAAGGATAGGCTTGTATAATCAGCTGTTACACCTCTTCTATATAATCATTGTTTGTGTTATAGGACCTTCTAATACTAATTGTACATCAGATCACTGACAACTCGTATGTCATTCAACAATCATGGAAGAATTTAATCAACAAGTGGTATGTCATTCAATGGTTGTAGTAGAATTTAATCATTCTTCAGATCACTTCTGGATTCTCACTTAATGACTATCATTAGTAGGGCAGAAATGAGTCATTGCTAAATACTATCTTTTGTCATTCATTCCACCAAGAGGCTTAGTCTGAACACCATTGCTGTCTTTCATATCAGTGAACTAGTATCAAAGGCAGGCTTCCTCTCAACAGCTTCATGGTTTAACTGATAGGTACTTTCAATGTTTTTAAAACTTTCTTTGCTGTTATTTGGAGCATGTAGCATAACATCAATAGTACTGGATTATGGGGCCATCACTTAACAGCTTCAAATGCACTGATTTAAACATTTTGATGTTCATCTAGATGCTTCTGTAACAAGTCATATTCCATTCTTCAATTACATCTTCTCCAAATATTGTTTGCAGGCCACTTGTCTCAATTGAGATTTAATAATATGGCCAATCAACAATACATAGACCGAAATAAGCATTAAATTACAAAGTTTGATGAAAATTCCTTCAGTTTCATCTCTCAAGCATCTCTTCACCTTAGCATTTATTTTGAACAGAAAGACAACTCAAAAACTGTGTTTTTATGTGTGTGGAAAATGACAAATTAATGCTTGTCTGACTTTTCCTTCCCTTCCTTTTTCATTAACTTGCAAACAGTTTGAATTTTTAGATCATTTGCATAAATCATAGAACTATGAATTCCTTGAAATTTACATGCTACTATAACCAAATCTTAATGGAGTTGCATTTTCTCTATAAGGTAGTGTATTTTAAATAGAATTATTGTGTGTGTTTTATATCTTGTTTTAGTGACTATAGCATTTGTTTCTAAATTAACTACCATGTTGGCCTGACCGTAAGATGAAATAGCCTTTTTTTTTTAAATATTTTTACAGCATATTCCCTCTTTCTAAAAAAAGAGCTGTCTAGTAAAATATTCTCATCTATATGAAATTGACATATTGAATGGGATTTGCAAAAGTTATAATTAAATAATCCAGGTATTGTATCTTCAATTAAATGATTTAAAGTATTTCCTTTCGATCTAAAGATTAAAGAATAAATGTTAAACTTCCTTAATATTTGTTTAAATATTAGGCTTTCCATATAGAATGGATAATTTTTAAAAGTATGTTTAGAAGAAGAAACCACCATCTTTATGTTAAGACCAACATTGTAAACTATTTTGATTAGTATTTCAAAAGTATGGTGATGTGATTCTAATTTTTTTTTCTCTTTTTTAATTTATTTACAGTATTATGGCCAGCCCAAAGAATATACATTTGCCTTAGATATTATGAATATGATCTTTACTGCTGTTTTTGCCTTTGAATTCCTTCTTAAACTTATAGCTTTTAAATTTAAGGTATGATCACTCATTATATTAATAGAAAAAAACTATTGTTTATGTATAATTATGACTAGAATTTATAATATTTCTGTTCCTTTTCTTTCCTTAACAGAACTATTTTGGTGATGCCTGGAATGTTTTTGACTTTATCATTGTTCTAGGGAGTTTCATAGATATTGTTTATTCTGAGGTTAATGTAAGTTTTCTTATCTAATAAAACATGGATTATTTTAATTATTCCTCATTAGCTTTTAATTAATTTGCTGTTTCTTTAAGAGAATAATAAAAGATGCTTGTGTATTCAATCCTGTACAAAACGGCATTCTAAAATATTTTATTCAAAATTTGGCTGTTAAAGAAATTTAATTAAAAATGTATTAACTGTAAAATTGAACTTTTCTGTCATCTTAAAATATTGTTTCTTAATATATGTAATTAAAAATGATAATTTTTTCTCAAAATTATTAAAGATATATGCATAATTAATTATTTGAAATTGTTAACAAACAGTTCAAATTAGTTATGTACATTATTTTTATCAATAAATTTGGAGAATCTATTATGTTGTACTTATATATAAATTTATCATATGAACTAATAGCAATGTTGCTTTTAGTTATCATGGTTTTCAAAAATATTTTGTATTTTTTTTTAATCCATTTGTCAAAAAATGGGGTAAAAACAATCTGCAGTAAAACCAACAGAAAATCAGTATTAGGAGTTTCATGAAAGAAATCCTTGTAATAGAGTTTTCATGAAATGAAATTGTACGTCATTTAAAATAGTTATTTAATTGCTTTCATTCCTTTATTTTGGTACCTAATTAAATATGCCAACCTAATGCTAAACTTTGTAATTTACAATCAAGAAAAATTTGATGATTTGCTTGTTCATATGTCTGATGTTTCTTTAGAAATATTTTAGGAGACAAAAATATACATTTTTTATTGATGGTGTATTTTAATAAAAAATTATTTCATTGATAGTGCATTTTGAAATAAATAATTTACAGATTTCTGTTGCAAATGTCATGTAGATTTTTATCAGTTTCATAAAAATATATTTATGAGTTCATAGAATTAATTACTTGATTATTTCATGAAAATAGTTATTAAATAACAAGTTTTAAATATGATGTTATTATAAAAAAAATTCTAAATTTATAAAAAGTTAATTTAAAAGTATTAATTAAAGAATTATAATTATTTTATTTAATCTTAATTACTTTTATAATTATCATTCATTATAGCATTTATTATTTTAAATTAATTTTATTATATATTTATTTATCAATTCATTATTATTAATTTTAAAATATTTTATAGTTTAATTGTTTTATAAATTAAAATTAATTTTAATTTATCAAATAATTCTTTGATTATTTATAACTATCTGTTTAGAAATAATTATTTGATACCTTTTGAATTCTTATTTACTAAATGTCAGTTTCAAGTTAACAATTTTTAAAATTAAAAAATATTTTAAAATTAAAAAATTGAAAATATTGCAAAATTTAATTACCCTTTTTCCCCCAATGTGAAAATAGCTGCATGTGTAAAATTTGGATTAGCTTGAGCTTTAACTTGGACAGGTGCTTTCACTTAAATCATCTTCAAATAATTAGTACTGAAATGGAAAACTTATAAAATAAAATTTCTTTTAAATGATTAGTCTGGAGATAGGATTAACAATATAAGATCTCAATGGCTTTCTATAAAAGCTAAAAAATATCAGATATTATAGGAAGCTTAATATAGAATTACTGAAATTGTGAACTATAGAGCAATTTCATTGTAAAAAATATATCCCAAACTGGCTAATTTCCTAGTTGTTTGGTTGTAGTTCATGAACATTAGTTACATGAATAAAATATGCACAGTAGATTTAAATTCTTAATATTACTTAAGAAATGTAGTTTTATTTTAAGCTTTTTAAAATGCAGCATTCAAATTACAGTCAAGTGCTTAAAAATGTGAGTGTGCTGTCACGGACCATTCATTTTCAGTTTCCAGGTAATCAAAATTTGTTCCTGTTTGTCATTATTGCCATGCTATTCCAGCAATTTAGAAAGCTGCTCAAATTAGTATTTAGTTACTGTTATTTTAAGAATACATTTTGCATATTTTAGTTTTACAGAATAATTTGCTAACATAAATCATGAGAAACTTGATAGTAAATTTAATATATTGTAGGTAGTTTTTGGAAGCAGGAAAAATGAAAAATTTGCAACGCCTTCACCGGGAACGAAACCATGGATCTCTGGAATATGCACCCAGCGTGCAGACCACCACACCATGAAGGCATGCATGCCAAGAAGGCAGGAGAAATACTTTATATACTCCCCTTTTTAAAGGGTGACTGGGGTTTTTAGGGAATCCAGTCGCCAAATCCTGGGTGTGGAGAATCATCATCCAACAGCCTTTTAATTCGGGCATCACTGTAGAGACATTAGGTTAATTTTAAGCAAGAGAGGTGAAAAATTAGAAAACGGCTTCGAAAGTAGTCGAATTGCGGACCTCTGGAATACGTGCCCAGCATGCAGACCACCACACCACGAAGGCATGCTAAGAAGGCGGGAGAAATACCTTATAATGTATTATCTGAATATAATCAACCAAAGATCTTTAGTGATTTCCTAATGTACTAGGAAAGTGTAAGAAATATATCCAGTTTTACGAAGTGATATTATTAACCCATTAACCGCCAAAATGACAAGGAATGTTTCTTTTCTGATGAAAATAATAACAAATATTAAATTAAGCATTTATAACATAAATTTAGATTGAAAATAAAAAAAAAATGTTCTTACCTGTGGAAAAAGCGAATGTTGCGTTTGTGCAACATTCGCGGAATAAGACTACGGATGTTTAGTGAGTAGGATTGTACTTGTGTGATGTTTTTTTTTTTTGAGTGGAGCGCAGAATTACTGTTTAGTTGTATAACGTTTTATAAACCTACAAATCACTTTACTTGTAATTAATTTAATATTAAAATATACATTGTATTTCTTTTACAAATGCAGATTATTTCAATTGAAAGATTCAAGCATGAAAAGCTTGATTACAATCATGATGTAAAGCTACATTACATACTTTGCATCTATAAACAGTCTGGCTATGGTACTCTTTACAACAAAGTCTTTTGTTATCAATGGACTTTCCGATAAATGTCTACCATCTCCATGCAATGGTTTTTGAATGCTGAATTTACTAGGTCTTCCTGTTGCTGATGTTATTCTGGCTAATTCTACACTCTCAATAGAAGTTTTCAAAATACTCATGCATTCTCGCGTCTGAAATCTAAAAGAGACTTATATTCCCCGTAGTAAAAAGTGGTGATATTTAGTAGTTTAGATACGTCTCACCTCATATAATTATCAGTATTGTCAATGCAAATTCTGCTTCATATTCCTGTATCTGCAAACGTGATATTGACTCTCGTACAACAGGAACAGAAATATCCTTATCAAAAGACCAATACATTTTTTCTTGAGGTAAAGAATGATATCCTGTAAGCAATAATATTCCAATAAATCTTCTCATATAGGCTTCAGATGCAATAAATTCTGGGCTTTTTTTTTTTTTTTTTTTTCCCCTCTCTTCTGAGCGTATATATTTGTCTGTTCAGCGAGAAGAGAGTAAATGTCTAAACCAAAAAGAAAATCGAAAATCTTTGCACTAGTTTTACCTTGTATTTTGTCTTTTATAATTTCTCTTCTATCTCATTTTTCATGTTCTTTTTAAGACATAACTAACAGTTCCTTTTCTATCCACTTCAAAATTTCAGTCTTCTGCTTTTTAAACTTTTTAGTATGACTATAACTGCTTTTAGAAGGCTGAAATTTACTTCTTATGTGAATTTCAACTTCCCAGCAGTATCATTTGGTAAAATATCATTATCATTATTTAAAAAATTGCCATTCCTTTCTTCTCTGTCACTAGTTTCTGCAATTTACAACAATATCAGTTTCATTCTGGTCATTATAATATTTTCATCATCTGTTTCTTCATCAAAAATCTTTGAAGGGCTTCTTCTAATGTAAGATACCTGGTTCTAGGCATTTTTAAACAACCAGAACTTGAACCAGAACATGGAAAGGAATGAGTGAAAAAGGAGATTGACTATACGTTTCCTGCTGACGTTGCGTCAGCGCAACACCTGTTTTCCCTTCTTTTCCAACACAAATATAAACATCTTACTGATGTAATGTTCTGATAAATGGTGACCTTGACTAAAAATAGATCACTCATAAAGATGGCGATTCTTTCGTTAAATATTTTCAGCAAAAATACCCAATCGAAAATTTTGCTTAAAGTATGAGATTAAAAATTATAAACAAAATGATTGTTGAAGGAAAATATTTTTTTACAGAAATAATCTTCGTAATATTCCCTACACAAAATCATCTGCTGGTATAAAATATCTTATGTAGTTATATTTATATACACATTTATTTTGACCATTGCATCAATGCAACACCAGCGGCTAATGGGTTAAGAGAGAAAAAGGATTAAAAATATGTATTGTCTTAGAAAAATGACGTGTTGCAGTCTAAACATATCGAATTATGATTTTATTAGTTACTGTAAATTATGCAAGTATATGATATAATGTATGTGACTCTTAGTTAATCATTGTTAAGTACTATTCTGCTTAATTTGAAGATTATATTTCGAAAATAAAGATTAAAGATAAATTATATTTGATCTAAAAGAGGTACACTTTTGTAATGTATGAATATAAAGAATCCTAGTATTTTTTTTAAGCAAGAAGTTATTTCAGGAAGTCAACATCTAATTCATATAACAATTTAAAATATGATGTTGTGTAAACATGCCATTTTGAGTCATAATGGAGATTTATCTTAACTATAGGAAAGTGATGGTGCAGATTGAGCAAAAATCCATTGTTCACAATTCTTTTCTTATACTTAGGCTTTGTAGTTGGAGCAGCTAAACTACCCTTTTGATACCTCAGTAAATCAGTTACATACTGGCTAAACAAATGTATGATTATAAAGCAGATTTTGCCTGTAAATGGCTATATGAGTTGTATTTCTACATGTTTTTACTTCTTTTGATCTGAAAATGTCTCTTAATTCTTTTTAAAATATTATAGGGGCGAACTTCCTTGTTTATTTTATAATATTTTAATTTTTAACTTGAAGAATGTATTTCTAATTTATTTATAATTTAAGAAAATATATTTTGTTAGTATTCCATATGTATGTATGCTAATCTATGCTTTACACAGTATTTTTATGTATTTTGCAGCCAGGAACAAATATCATTAGCATTAATTTTTTTCGTCTTTTTCGAGTGATGAGGTTGATTAAACTTTTGAGTAGAGGAGAAGGCATCCGAACTTTGCTTTGGACATTCATTAAATCTTTTCAGGTATAAGATTTTATGTTTAACTAAACAGAATTTGTTTCTTAGTTGTATTTTTGCTTTCTGTTCCTTACATTAATTAATCTTGTATAAACAATTATATTTCAGTCACATGATATTTTTTAATCATGTAATATCCTGCGTGATAGAAAAATGTCACACCTTGAAAGAATGATTGGAAACAAACCAAATATATGTACACTAACAGAGTTCTTAACAAGCGATTTAATTTTCAAAGATGTACTACCATAAGAAACTAAAACCATAAGAAACCTGCACCTCCATTTCAAGCAGAACACTCATGAACACATAATTGTGTTGAACCAATGAACATGTGCAGCATTTGTTCATAAGTTTCAGTATTCTTTATTTACTTAATTTAATAGAGTTATAAATTTGGCACAATTTTTGAATCAGTATTTTGCTGTGTTAGTAAACTCTTGTTTTAGGAGAAGCAACTTGATTGATATGGACTACAGATATCACAATTTTTAGTGTTGTTTGTACATTTATTTAATTAACCATTCTGCTTTGATTTCTATTGCATTTATATAAATCAAATGGGTGGTACTGATAAAGTTTTTTTGGATCGCAGCAGGTTTTAGCTGCATGTGAATTTGGACATCAACCCAGCCTGTAGAGACTAGACTGATGAAGACACAAGTTGCCTTGTAGTTCATTCAGTTTTAAATTGGGTATATTTGTGTCATTATCTGTTCAAAAACAGGCTGCTCCATTTACTTCTCTCAATACATCCAGCCCTGAAGACAATGTATTAGGAGAAGTAAATTGTTCTTCAATTTCCATATTCATTTTATTATTATTATTATTGTTGTTGTTGTTATTATTATTATTATTTGCAGTTATGCACTTACTAGATTTCAGAACTGTACATGATTTCTTATTTTTTTCACAGTGGTTAGTGGTTTTTGCAGAATACTTTATTATTTTACTGATTTGTTATTTTAAGTTGACTATGCATTGTGTTTAAATTTTTTATTTAACTTAGTAATGTTGCTACTAGGTATTGTAGCTTGCAGTGTATAGTTGGATATTATTTTAGAAATTGTACTATACAGGTTGGTTCAAAACTATCTGACAAAAATGTAAAAGCAGGTAGAGGAGGCCTAAATAAGCGTGTTTGTTTAGGAATGTGTGTACTGTAATGGCGCATTGAGCCAGCAGAGGACGCTAATGAGTGTGGCGTATAAAAGCACTGTGCTGGCTGACTTTCCGCTTGTTCAGATTTTTTTTGGGGGGGTCATCTTTATGCCATTAGGAACTTATGAAATTTAGACTGGTAAAGGCCTCAGCATGCCTTTTGCACGAATGATGATCTGTGATCTGGATTCTTCATTTCCCGTACAGATCTCGAGCAAAATGCAGAGCTTGCCGACATGCATTTCATGTATGGGGCTGCACAATGAAATGGACAAGCTGCTCAAAAGATGTACAGAAAGCAATTCCCATATAGTAATCAGCCGGTTTGTAGAACATTCAAGCATCTTCCTCATGAGTTAAGCACAAGTGAATTGTTTTATGCATCCAGGAACATCAGAAATCACTTGGAGGACGGGGTGGTCCAGCTCCCTGCCTTCCACATTATCCTGATTTAAACCTGCTTGGATTTCTTTTAGGGTCACATTAAAAGCCTCGTGTACAACAGTCCCGTCACATCTGCAGAAGTTCTTGTTGCCTGCTTGTCTGGATATGTGCTCGACATGCTTGACATCTTTTCTAATGTATGCCACTTCATGCGTTGCCACTGTGAATCTTGTATCGCTGTTGGTGGCCACTCTTTCAGGCACCTATTGTAAACTGTTAATAATATTTTTCCTTTTGTCTTTAGTTGTCTTTTAAATCTCCTATGATTCATATTGCTTTGCACGCTGTAATGCAGCATTATCACACACATTCCTATACGAAATCTGCTTATTCAAGTCTCCTCTACTTGCTTTTATAATTTTTACATATAGTTTTGAACCACGCTGTATATGTGTGTATGCATGTGTGTAAGTATTGTTTTCACATTTATTAAGTGTATTGCATTTAGTTTCATGCATATGAAATGCTATTTTAATTTAAAATTTACATTCCCATTTTTTTAATAAAACCAAAGGAAAAAAAGGCCAAAATTGGCTTTAATTTCAAAATCAACCATTGTAGAGCATTACCCATCATGGGGAATCAACAGCCTCATTTATTGTGGCATAACAATAAACTGCTATAGGTTCACTTTTGAATACAGTTTAAGATTAAGAATATAATTAATACTAAGTTGAAGGGACTCAAAGTGTAAGTATTAAAATGTAAGCCATCCATTGTGCCATGGAGCTTTTAAAAACCTTCAGCATTTATATCATTTTGTTATCGAACAAGGAGTCAAACCGCATGTGTATAAATGTAGTATTTTGTAATTTTACTAACTTAAAAATGCTGCATAAAATTTTTAGTTATAATATCTTAATAATTTTTATAGTGCATTAGTCTGAGATTTGATTTAAGAAAACTTGGTTCTTTCTGATTATCTGCATCTTCTAAAAATGTATTCATGAGGCAACATACTATGTCTCCAAAATGTATATATGTGGCAATCCAGTTATGCATGCAGCAGCAAGAGCTGATTTTCACCTTCAAATTTTACAGTCATTTTTCTTATTAATGTTTGCTTTTGTTGAATCTGAGTACTTATTTTTGTGTGTAAAGAACTGTAATGGAATTAGGAGTTTGTCAGGTTATGGAAAAGAAAGCATTGCATTTTTTCAGAAATATGCCATTTTGTTCAACTGCACGAGAATAGAGGAAGCAAGGATTTGCATTTAAAAAGTCATATTTCTTAAACAAGCAAATTTTATGGATTGTGAAATGTGTGCAATTCTTTGACTTAAGTGAATATTATATTAAGTGAAAGTGAAAACAAATCATTCAGTGAAATGAGTGTGGGCACAAGTTGTGTTAGATGCTGAGTTTATGCAATTATCTTATATTTGTAAGCTAAAAGCACTGTGTAGCTGAAGAGAAGGGAGCCAATAAAAGTGTTCTGTTATAGATTTTCTTGCATTTTTAATTTTTTAATTGCTTGGAGTTTTATGTAGCTTTAAGTTCATCACCATTTTTAAAAATGGCTGTTATCTTTCAAGTCTAGCAAAAAAAATTAGTTGACATTGGTTGGTGGCATTTTGGGGGTGTTAATAATCAGAAAGTACTAAAAATCCTCCATAACATATAAAACATAGTGACAGTTACTATATTATTCCTTTACTTAGTGCTTAGTGCTTTTGTAATCATTTCATAGAAAGTTAAATTTAAAAAAAAAAACTCTCACTAATGAAGTCTTACAAATTTATGTAAATTGTATAATTTAAATTTACCAACAGAAGTTTAGTACTCATAAATTATAATATTTATAATTTGTAATAATTACAAACAAAAATTTAGAACTGATAAATTATATTATTTATAAGTTGTAATATTTTCAAACTTATCTTTCTTTAAAAGTTCTCTTTCAATGCATTTGCAATAAATAGAAAAATGGTGCACAATGCAGAATTCAAAGTTAAGCATAAATCAATCTGAGAATGATGTTCATTTTGTAGAAAGTCTATGCATTTTGAAAGAAGGCTGCCAGTCCCCCTCAAAATTCATAAAATTTCTCTATAATGCATATCAATTTAAACTTTATAATGTAACTATATTATATAATTTGTAATGTATTTTTCCCTCATATGAATTCTTTCTTACTATATAACGTGACATATATCAATAAGCAATTAATTATAAATTTTATTGATAATACTTTGTAATCAAACTGGATCTTGATTACACTGATCAATGTTGCTGCATAGCTGGCTATCATTCAACTTTTTGATCATCACTGACCCGACTTGGAACCTCTGATCTGAAGCTCATACCATTGTAACAAAACATATTTTTTGCATTCCTTTAGTGAGAAAACATTTTTGAAAATATAGATTAATGTGTAGGTAGCCATATTACTCAATAACATACTACTGTGTTTTATTTCAGGCCTTGCCTTACGTAGCTTTGTTGATAGTGATGCTTTTCTTTATATATGCTGTTATAGGAATGCAGGTATTATATAAATTAAGTAATATTGTTAATTTGCATGTATTGTATTAGTAACTGATGATGCTCGAATGTGTTTTTTTTTCTCTTTATGATATCACTGTTTGACATTTAATATTTTTAACCTGCCTTGAGCTAACATGATTACCATGAATGAATTGTATCCTTGATTTTTTTATCCTCTCTTGGTCTAATCTGATTATTATGAAATGAACTGTATCCTTGGCCATAGTAGAAAATTCTGCACTTATTAATATATATCCGATTCCTATTTTTACTGCTCATTTTGATTAATTTAATGCATATTTTCTTAATTAATTTAGCATTAAAATCATCCAAATTCATTATTCTAAGTTTATCTTTGCTATAGGTCTTCTGATCAAAATGAGCATTCAAAATTAGATTTGCTGTGTTACTTTAGCTAATAATGTGATGTGATATCTGACATTTACAGAAGCTTCTACCCTGCATTGATTTATCTCCATCAGTCTTTTAATAGATGGCTTTGAAAACATATACATTCATATTTAAATAACAATAAATATGTAATTTAAAATGAAGATTGTTGCCAGTAATATGTCATGCTTATTATTATCAAATATTGTATGAAATCAAATCACTAAATATCAGTGTAGTTTCCAATCTGAATATCTAAAATTGCAAACTTCAGTTCTAAGCAGAGTTTAATTTTTTTAATATTTAAAAAATGTAAAAAATCTCAAAACAAAACTTCAAAACATCAGAACTTAAAACTTAAAACATCAGAAACATCTTTTATTAATTTCTGCAAAAGTGAAAATGCTCATAAAATTTATCAGTTGGATACATTATAAATAAAATGAGTTTTATGTCAATTAGATACTTTATTCTAAAAAGATTTTAAAAAATAGATATTAATTATTCAAAAGTGGGCTTTTTGCTTTTAAGTTATGCAGTTTGTTAATCAAATTCAGATCCAGTAAATTTGGAAGGTCTTAAAAAATATTGCATCAAATAAATGTTTTTAGTTATTTACCTCTCAGCTATCTAGGTATTTATTTATTTATTTTTACTGTGGAACACATTTTTCTCAATATCTCAGTTCGATATAATTGCAATATTTGTGTTGCAATTTTGATTGTATCAGATCTTTGTAAAGTCCTGCTTCATATATACCAATATTTTTTGTTTAGTAAACATGAAAGCTTCTTTAAATAGGACAGTTTTTTTTTTTTTTTAATGTATATTTTTCCTCCATATTTAGATGTTTGGCCGTATTGCTCTTGATCCTGAAACTGCTATTCACAGGAACAATCATTTCCAAACTTTTCCACAAGCAGTTTTAGTTTTGTTTAGGTATGTTCTATTATTTAATTATGTTAAGTGATTTTCAATTATAAGTAAATAATTTAAATGTCAAAATGATGGTATTGTACTGGATAACAGTATAAAAATATCCTTTTCCTTAGATTAAACATATGTATTTTTTGTCCATTTCCATGCTAAAAATTCAAGCTTAAAATGCCATAAAATGTTAAATGGAAAACATTTAGTGCCACTTTTCTCATTTGAGGATACTTATTTATGTAAACTAATAAAATATGTTTTTTGATTTTTTTCTTTCAGTATCATAAATCAATCTGTAATTCTGAAGTATTATTTAGTATATGTTCATGTACAGGAGACACAGATGATGTGACATAATGCATAAAATCTCTTTGCAAAGTAAATGCAAGAAATTATTTAAAAAGCTCTGATGAAAATTTTACTTAAAAACCTTTGAGAAAATATACAACTTATTAAAAGAAAACATTAATATGTAAGAAGTGATGTTAAAAGTTTAGTTACATATAATAAGTTTCGTGACCTTAAATAGTACATTATCCTACCCTGTCTAAACAAGTAAAAGTAATTCCTGAAAAACTATATAGGGATGACAGTTTCTCAAATTTATATGCACATCTTTCTATTTCCTCTTCCAAGCACTTTTTTTTTAATGAAGGAATTTTTTTAGAAAAACAGAAATAATGATCATTATGGAAAAAAAGTAAAATCATTTGAATTCTGCTGTATGTCCAGTTTTCTCCAGAAATTTATGGAAATGCTTTAAAAAATTTTCTCACCAGTCAGTATAAAGAATTAAATGTTCGTAATTGAGTGAATTTTCATAGTTTTTGACTAAGAATTTCCTTTGAAAATAGTTCCACCTTTAGAATATGGCATCAGAAAAGGCAAACCTTTGATAGCTGCAAATGCCCTTAAAATACCTGTTTGTAATAAGCAACTATTGAAAATTTTGGCTCATAAATGATCTTTCATTTTAATAACAAATCAAATTAGTTCCTTTTTTGAGAAGTAGGACAAGTTTTTTTTTTTTTTTTCCCCACACATTTTCTTTTGGCAACAGGATAGAAAAATTTGTTCATAGTAATACAAGTATGAGGTAAATAACTTATAATAATAATAACAGGCCTTTCATTTCAGTATTGCTACTATTAGCTTTTTATCACTGTAGTTATTATGTATATTTTTATCAATTGATTATAAAACTGGAAATTCATTCATCTTGTTTAATTGGATTTTTGTATCATTTTATTTTAAAAAGTAAAGGATTTTATATATTTGTTACTTTGAAAGTTTTACTTATCAGAGTCAGTATTATGAAATTTTGTTTATGTAATATTAATTGTATAAACAGAAATTTTGAGTAACAATAAATAATAAATAATAATAAATGTAAACAAAGTGAAAAAAGTATATATAGTGTTATTTATTAGTTTTGTTCTAACAATTTGCTGATGAAATTAATATTTCAACTCAGAATTATACTATTTTTCGCTTTAAAGATGTATTATATTTAAACATGCATAATGATTATCAAAATTATTATGCAGTTATGTTTCTCTTGAATAATTGGCTGTGGGACTAGGGAGTCAATATTTAAGCAATGTGCCAAAAGGGATATGTTTTGCAATAGATTTTGAATAAAAATTCTGTTAACTTCAAGAACAACCAAAAATATGTCCCTCTTCTTCACACACACACACACACACACACACACACACACACAAAAAAAAAAAAAAAAAAAAAAAACTTATTTGCTAGATGATAGGATTGCCAGCATGCTAATAGAAAAATTAGTATGTAAGAATTTATGTTAATTAACCCAGTTATCATACTATTTTGCCTTTACTTTCTCCATTCCCACCAGGATGCAAATTAGTTGATGTATTTAAGTGCAGAGTTCTTGAGTTCAAGTGACAGCCTTTGACAGGTATCACTGATTGGTTACTTGACAGCTATCACTGAGTGGATACTGTACTATTACTCCTTTCAACTGAGTTGATTGCTTTAGTTTCACTAGCTTCAGCTGCTTCATGAAATATTTTAGGCCAGGTCAAAAATAAATTAGGTATACGTTAGTTTGTATTTAATATTTTAACTGATTTGAACTTCTGTTTATGTTTTCTCATGAGCAGAAAAGATTTGATTTGCTTTGCTTTGATGTTCACTGTTATCAGTTTGGGGGAACTGTCAGGCTGACATGCCAATAAAAGTTTTATTTTAAACGTTCATCTGAGACTGTGGTTACTCTACTTTGAAAGCATGAGAGAATTCATCTGCCTGTGTGCATACTTCTAGAAGTTAGTATTGGCACTTAGAGTGTACAGAATAGGCAAGTCAAACAGAAAACAAATATTGTTACACTGTCAGCTACGAAATATGAAAAAGCTAAAAAGTGACAATTTTAAAACTGTTGGGAGGAACTGAATTAGAATTTCCTAAATGAAATAAACTTTTGTGGCTGTGAAATTAAATTCATTAAGAAAACCCATATCATCAACTGAAGTAGCTTTGTGGATAATTTTCACAGAATTAAAGTTACTTTTAAGACGGCATATGTTTAATTATTAACAATATGTTTACTTCTCCTTTTCGAACATAGGATTTATATACCTTGATGCAAAATTATTATGCTCTTTTAACTTAGCTGATATATGTCAAAGCACACTGATAAGATATGCTATAAATAGTCCTTATTAAGGACTGGTTTTGTTGATTAGAATTTAAATTTTCATACAGACCTTCTGAAAAGAAAATTTGAATTATTAAGCTGCTTCTTTATGACATTAAAAGTATCTTTCAAAAAATTGCTTTTAAAAACTGAAATTCTGTTGTTAAATAAAATTTATATAGTTTACAAAAATATAATTAACAATTTGGGCAATTTTTAGCATGCAATGATATGATTTTATGCTTCTGCTGTGAAAAACATCCCTCTCTAGAAAGTCCATATAAAATTTTAACTATTATTTGTTTTTGCTGATGGGTACAAATAACAAAAGAGTCTGAAAACTTACCTTAGTTGATTCATTAGTTAGGCTGGAACCATATAATCGGGCAAAAAGCATATAATTTTATGAACATCATGTATATACATAAAGTACATAAATAATATGAAATTACTCTAGGTCTGCTACTGGCGAAGGATGGCAAGAAATCATGATGGCCTGTACTAATAAGCCCACCACAAAGTGTGATCCAAGATCAGATGAATCATTTGGTGAAGTCTGTGGTTCTGAAGTAGCTTTACCATATTTCATATCTTTTTATATTTTGTGTTCATTTTTGGTAAGACCTTTTCTATAGTTTTTAAAAATTTTATACATAATTTCGTATTTAAGTGTAACCTTAAATGCATTGCTATTATTATTTTATGATTATTACTTTTGCATATTGCTGTATTTTGAATTTATTCTTTTTGCTGTCATATTTATGAGTCATCTAAAAGAACTTCTTTGGACATGTCATTCATTAAATGGAGGAAAATTGCTCTTTTTAAAAACATACGAACCCCGTACGCTTGTACAGGGTTCATATGGATTTGGAGTGAATAATGATGATACTACTTGATGAAGTATCAAAACACACTTTATTAGCCAGTATTGTCAGGACAGCTCCAAAGTCACTTTTACAGTCGCGAAGATCTACTATAAACACTTGCTGGAACAATCAGCGACGCAGCCTTCAGGTTATCAGGCTATCACAATGGAGACAGCCTCACTGCAAAGCACCAGAGTATAGCTCCCGACTCTGCTTTGTTGTTCTCGGAACTCCACGTACTCTCGAGACTCTCCATATTGCAACTCAGGATGCACTCAACACACAGAGACTCTTCGGTTCAGTCGTTCCTGGAGCTCAACACACTCTCTCAACGATTCACTAACCGCGATGCACTAAGAGACTCCTTCGGTGCACTGGTTGACCCACTCGGAACTCGCTGTCCGGCTGTCAACTCAATCAACTCCACAGGAATTGAATCGCTAGACGAGACACCAACTTGATACTAACTAACTCGCACTCTGACGTGATACACTCTCTATCAGCTCGCTAGGCGAGACACTCGCACTCTAGGTTAGGCACACACACTCGATACTAACTAACTCTTCATGTACCAGCAGGATTTATATAGCTTTTGGCTGGTGTTCGAGAACATTCTGGGCTAAACGGGTAAGAATTCATTCCAGAAGGTTCTCCATCCATCCATAGTATATTGTCAATTTTGTCGCCAAAAGGGCAATTTCCCGCCAAATGTGGCAACCCTGCCTTTTTTGCTATTTTTTGGCAACCCTAAAACTGCTTTGCAGGGAAGCTATCTTACCGTGCCTGTTCATTTCACTGCCCCCTCCCAAGGACTGCATGTCCCGGGCAGTACAATCCTTGGTCAGAAGCATAATTCGATACACAAAAAAAAATAAACAAAAATAATGAAACAAACAAATAACATAACTAAAGAAACAAATATGTACACTATGTACAAGTTATGTACACAAATTAAACACATAACAATTTTTAATTTCTACAAAATTAAAGGTTCAGAATGAATTTCAGTCTTAATCCTTTCATTAATTTATACCCCAGTCAAATACTTTTCCACTGCAGTTCTCAGATGCATTTCTGTTTTGCATATCACAATCTGAAGATATAGTCTTTTCAGACTTTTCATGCACAGATAAATCTAAAAAAGTTCGTTCACCACTTTGTAGTTCATTCCCATCATGAATACAGTTCACCTCGGTAATTTTAGTGGCTGGTACATACTCATTTTCCTCCGTTTCCTGGGAACCAGTTCCGATGTTTGCACCAGGGTCGGGAATAGAATCCAATCCTTTACAAGCAGAAGTATCCGGGTTTAGAATCAAGTCCTGTCTCAAATCTGCAGATAAGCGCACACATAGTTTGCAAGGGGTGAATTTTTTGAATTCGGGCACAAGTGATTCGGCTTCTTCCTCCTGCATCAATGCCTTTCAGATGTTCATTCTGTAACTGCGCTCATAATTCATAGCTTTTGTAATTGATGCTAAAGCAAAGTTTAAAGTTTAAAAATTAAACATTTAGCAGTAGTAGCAATAAAAGCTCCCTGAGATATATGTTGTGCAGACATTGAAGACAATAAAAGGTTTTGAACTTAACCAATTTATTAACAATATAATAAAGAATAAAAAACACAGAAAATAAATTTCAACAATATCAGAGTCTTAGGAAAAATATAATATAACCATCATTCATCAAATAATATTTTTACCTGGTCTCCAAAAAACACTGGCATTCAATACAAAAAAAATGTCCTAAACAGTAATTATGCGGCCTAAAAATAAAGCTGGCTACCACATTCAATAAGTCCATAATCAATGGTCAAGAAAAACACCTGAAAATTTAAATCAAGTTCTTGAAAGCACTCAAAAACCGGCCCAAGGAACTTTATTCAGGAACAGTTCATCTTGAACAGGAACCAAGGAACTTTATTCACCGGACTGCATGCATCCTTCTGAAGGGGCTGGAAACCGCTCACCCAAGTGCCAGGAAAGCAGGAACTAGAAGGGTTGAGCCAGAGCGACGCGAGATACTTATAGCAGAAGTAGGAATGACGTCATCTCACGGCAACCAATCAGCTATCGGCACGAATCGGCTTTTCAGATGACGTAACATCACGTTTCGTTTTTGCATCTCAATTAGGTTGAAACAGTCCGTTCTCAATGCAAACAGTGGCAGCAAGAAAAAAAGAAGTAGAAGTAACTACTATATTACATTATTAAAATAAGGAACTAAACTAAATAAACATTTCAAGGAGGAGAGATGATGCAGTAAAAGGTTTAAAATAAGCTATATTTTCCAACAAATGCCCCCCACATCATCATCTCCGACCTGAAATAAAAACCTGAATGCCAGTATCTTTACAAAATTCAAAACAAGAATAAATAAATATCACAATTTCATTCAATTCAGAAATTTTTAAGAAAAATTTTTCTTTGGGAACATCTTATCCCATTATTCAAAAATTTTACCATAGCAAGAAAGTCCAACATGTTACAAAACAATACAAAGACATATATATGATCACACACTCAATACTTTTACCCAGGGCCCTGGTCACTCATACAACATTCTACACTATACAGTTTTACATTTACCTAATATCCATCATAATATGACTTATAAAATATTATTTCAAATAAACAAAACTCTTAATTTAAATACACACAAAAACAAATTTCATAAGAAAATTGTTCCATCAAAATTTCTTTATCAGAGTTATGCTATATTTTGTCAGCGTGTTTTGTCATGAATGATCATGCCAGATTCATCATTTCACTCATGAGAAAACCATAGTTTAAATCCAAACAAAATTTCCATCAGTTTAGTTTGTGATGTCTGGTATTGGAAACGTACCCTAAAAGTTTAAGTAATCCTTCCCAGTGAAACTTACCAGGATTGCTTTGGAACTGAGAAAATATATTAACAGCATAAGCTATATCCGGACGAGTACGATTGCAAAGAAACGAGAGACATCCCAAAACATTTCTATAAGGATAATTCATCATTTCAGTCGTTTCTTCTTGTGTACTGGGACTTTGAGTATTTCACACCTTTAACTATTGGAAGGGAAGTAATTTGTATTTTAAAAGACTTAAATCGATCAACTATGTCTTCTATATATAATTGCTGATGAATTAAAACACTATTGTTCTCATATTCAAACTCCACACCCAGAAGCTTTCTTGTTTTACCTAAAATTTTCAAATCAAAATGTGAACTCAGGACTTTTAATATCCTTTTGGCCTGAACTTCACTTTTCCCAAACACAACTATATCATCAACATAAACCAACAGAATGACAAAATCTTTAAAACGATAGACACAATTACACCACTCAAACTTGATAAACCCTAGGTTACATAGTGTTCTATCCAACTCGTAGTACCATAATCGCCCACTCTGATGCAAACCATACAAGGCTCTATCTAAACGACACACAAAAGTTTCTTTATCTCGCTCTACAAAACCCTGAGGTTGGGACATGTAAATTTCCTCTGATAAAGGAGGAGCGTAGAGATAGGCACTTTTTCACGTCGCATTGTATATTTGCCCATCCAAGGTGTGCAACTAAAAGGGAGAAAAAGAGCCTTATTACTGAAAAGTTGACTACAGGAGAGTAGGTTTCATCATAGGTATCGTATTTAATTTGCCGATAACCCTGAGCCACTAAACGAGCTTTAAAACGAACAATGTTTCCAAATTCGTCACGTTTAATGTTGAAAATCCACCTGCAACCTAGTGGAGTCTTGTCTTTAGGAAGTGGAACAAGATGCCATACCTTATGCTTTCGCATGTTGGCCATTTCCTCTTCCATTGCCTCTATCCATTTAAGCTTTTCTGTGGATTTCATTGCCTGGTTATAAGTGTTTGGAATTGAAACCTCTAGTCAGCTATCTCGGGTATATGACGTTGAAGGAGTGCCAGTTGGGTCGATTTCACCACTATAAGTATTGCTTCCCTTGAAATCAAACAAGGTAGGATCATACTGAATATTATGTTCAGTGCAATACCTTTCTACATCATTTGGTGATCGTAGTCTTTGATTAGACCCCCTCTCAAAATAATACACATCCGTACGAGTGCCGTCTGGCCTTGGAACAGGTTTACGAAGCCAAGTTACTTGTCTCAATGTAGATTGAGTGTCAGTGCCAATTGTAGAAGAAGGTACATTGGTATCGGTTCTTTCCTCTATTTCAGGAAAATAGCCAACTGGAGTATCAGTAGATTGGAACTCTACCCTTTCTTCAGATTCCAAATCAGGAAGGGTGCCCAGTGCAGCTCCACTGCCACTTTTCTGCATTCCAATTGACTCTTTAAAAGTAGCATTTAGGGTTTCTACTACCTTTTGCTCATTTTCCAACCAAATCTTGTACCCTTTTGTTCGTACACTGTACCCAATCAATCGGCCCTTCGTTGCCTTTGGATCAAGCTTAGAATTTCTTTTAGCCTTTGGAATTCCCACATAGGCAATCGTTCCAAATGCCTTAAGGTGACGTACTGATGGTTTCCGCTTAGTGTATAATTCGAATGGGGTTCTATCTTGGCCCTTATGACAAATTCTATTAAATGAATATGCAAAATACATTACTGCATCTGACCCCAAAATTCAGAACTCATTCCACTATCGTGTAAGATTGCACGTACATTGTTGAGAGCTGTCTGATTAAATCTCTCACAAACTCCATTCTGTTCTGGAGTATATACATCAGTAAATTCGTGCTTTACACCATTTTTATTACAATATGACCTGAACT